AGAACTGAAATGGTAATTTTATAAAGTATTTCTAGTCTGGTAAATAATTTTTTTTTTTTATAAAACTGATATTTTTCACAAAACCTTTGCACCAAATATTTTTGGATTTCAGTCACTGAAAACCCTCAAATACGTGTGTTTTTCAACAAAAACCTGAAAAAGTTCTAAAAAAATCCTCCCCCTTAAAAAAAAATTCACAGTGGGGAAAGAAAAATAATTTCCTGAGCCACAGGCACCAACTTTCTGATTTTCCTGGGGGTACTCGACCCCCACTCTGCCCCAGGCCCCGCCCCCATTCCACTTCTTCCACCAAGGCCCCACCTCTTCCACCCCCTCCCCCAAGTGCGCCCCACCCCCGCTCTTTCTCCTCCCCCACCCAGGGCCTCCTGCCTCCAGCTTCTCCCAGCAAATAACTCCGAGGGTTTCAGCTGCAGGGGGAGCAATTGCTGCTGTGCTGGTGAAATTCACCCCTTGGAAAGCGTGACCCTTCTGCCAGGTGCTGGTGGCAGCTCAGAGGGCCAGGGTCAGTTCTCCAGCGGGGTGGTTCGGAAGTTACTGGCTGGGACACCCACCAAAATCCCAGCTTGGCCCAGGCACTTTGCCAGGCAAAACTGCCCCAGGCCCAGCGTGTGGGGCTTGGACATGTGGAGAGCTTTGTGCCTGGGGGTGAGGGCAGGGCCCAGGCTGGAAACAACCAGCACTGGATCAGCCAGCCCCAGCTACTGAGTCCCGCTGCCTTGGCCATAGCCTGGCCCTCTGCCCCCTCAGTGCACTGAGCTGTTCCCTGAGTGCCACCCCAGCACTGGAGCACCCACGGAGTCAGTGCCTATGTCCTGAGCAGCTCTGTGATGGGCTGGATGCAGGAATCAGTGGGTGAGACTCTCTGGCCTGGGTTATGCAGGAGCAGGTCCAGTCAAATCGCTGAAATTCCGTTTCACTCGACATTTCAAAATTTGTTTTCCTTCAAACCAAAACCAAATGTTCTTGAAATGAAACACAAATTGTGAAAAAAATATTTAGGCATTTATTTTATTTCTTTTTTCTTGTCAGTGTTGTACTATTTGCATTATTTTTACCTTATTTCATGACATGTAGTGCACACTATGGCATGTCCTCTTGTGAGAGAGAAGTTGGGTGAGGTAATTTCTTTTATTGGAACAACTTCTGTTGGAGAGAGAGACAAGTTTTGAACTTACATGGAGCTCTTCTTCAGGTCTGAAGGTTACAACACCACTTCATACAACATGTCCTCTCATGTCAAGTCATATCATAATATGGCATATTATGACATAATATTCAAAATACTTTTATTTTATTTTTTAAAATATTAAGGGGAGTGGCTGCTTAGTACAGATTGAAACATCTTATTTTCTAGATCAAAGTGTCTCCTGTTTATGTTGTAGTGAAAACATTTAACACCTGTGGAACTAACATGATGTGAATCGTAGAATCATAGAAGATTAGGGTGGAAGAGACTCAGAAGGTCATCTAGTCCAACCCCCTGCTCAAAGCAGGACCAACCCCAACTAAATCATCCCACCCAGGGCTTTGTCAAGCCGGGCCTTGAAAACCTCTAAGGAGATTCCACCACCTCCCTAGGTAACCCATTCCAGTGCTTCACCACCCTCCTAGTGAAATAGTTTTTCCTAATATCCAACCTAGACCTCTCCCACTGCAACTTGAGATCATTGCTCCTTGTTCTGTCCTCTGCCAACACTGAGAACAGTTGAGCTCCATCCTCTTTGATACTAGGTAGTTGAAATACACATAGTAAGAATACTATGGAAAATAATCCATTTTTCCATTCAACTTGATACAATGAATATCTTGTATCATATATGAGCTGCTACCATCCAAAATTTCAAACAGTGCTTGGTTTGTTTTATTTATGTTATTCCTAATTTTAATTAATTGTGAATTTTTTTTCTTTAATGATTGTTTTAGCTGTAAAGTTAATAGTTTATATGCATGAAACACTGGAGTACTTCGTTCAATGAGATCCCGGTAATCTGGGTTGCTAAGAATGGCATTTTCAAAAACATTGGCGATATTGTCGTATGCCCAATAACTGTAGGTACTTGTTGCTTAATGCAAAAATTTGGATTTGTGCCCATACATCCAAGATGACCATAATAGAATTTCTTGTGATTAGTTACTACACATTTCGTAAAAGATTTCCATTTGGTTAGTTGCACTGGGCAGGATACCAGTGTTGCATTGCGTTGGTACCTTTCCAGCTGGTCACATAGTGGAGTTGTTACCTCAAACACATTATACCTACAGATCCATTGATGCCCCTTTTGAGAGCAGCAAGCAATTCATGGGACTTTCCATGCTTGGACATTTTGGTGGGGGTACTTGGATTGTTTCTTATAGATGTCATTTCTAGGTGGCCTATGGAATGGACAGCCAATTGATCACATGCATCCTTATCTGGATCGAACACTAGCAATGATACTGTGAACGAGACATATAAGGATCGTAAAATGTCACAGGTTTTATTTAAATAATGTGTCATAATTTGGATGCAACGTCACAGATCCCAAGTTTCTATTTGAACCAAAAGATTTTTTTTTTATATATATATTTGGTTTGGCATTCAACTTTCTCTCCTCCATGTTTTGAATACAATGTGGACAATACCAATTCAAAATTGGTTGATCTCTGATTAATTTGGGTATTTTCCTTAGTTCCAAGAATTAATAGGTATTATTAATAGTGTCTATTACATATTCACCATATAATGAACAAATAATTTATTTTCCAAGTGAATGATTTTTCCATTATCATTATTATATTTTATCAATTGATCAATCTTATTTCGAGTTTCATTAAACAAATTGGTTATTTCATGCATATTATACACCATAAATCATTGTTTTATTTTGCTAAACCATAAAGTCCTTTAACATGGGGTCAATTACTTTTTTAGCTTCTTTTTTTAATCACATAATTGATATGCCTTTTGATTCTTTTAACATTAACCTTATTTCAGATTAGCACTTCTGTACTAATAAACCTGTGATACTGTTCAAAACTTCAAAAAGATTCATTTATTGTTTTCTTCTGGCAACATAAAGATTAGTTTGTATTTTGATTCCTAAATTGGTAATAGTTTGTACTCACTGTTGATAAGCATTAAACTTATCTATGAGAAGTACTGAAAAAGTTGCAACCTTAGTATCCTTACAATAACTAAATTCACTTATTTACCAATTAGATTATAGTTAATACAACAGGGATATGAATGAACTGAACTTGATTAATTAAGACCCTGTATAGACGTAGCTGTGAGACCACTAACAGGGCCTTCTTGCAAACTGAACATTTCACAGGGTTCTGTGAGTAATGGTCTTTTCCATTACTGTTGCTTGTACCTTTAAAATATTTATTAATAAACTTTTACAATACCTGAAGACTTAATTTGGCTACAAGCTTCATATTCTCCTTTATATTTATAATTTTGGTTATATATATGTGGTCAATGTTTCAGTTTTTACTGAGCTTGGATATTCAGTTTTGTTTTTCCATGATCCCTATGGGATTCCATACTTATTGGTGAAGATTTACCTTCACTTGCAATATGTTTTATATCCTCCCACACTGGATTTCTTAATTAAGGGAGAGATTCCCCCCCTCCCCAATCTACATAAGGCATGTGTTTATTTCCTTTTGTGTTATATTTAAGAACAAGTTTCTTATCTATTAC